ACCCATAATCTTGAGAAATGAGACGCTGCAAGAAACTGATCAATAAATAGGCCGTGCGCCGGCACCTGTGAAGTTCATACCTGTTGGCCACAGTGTGATAAGACTGCGACATGGAGTGAATCGGAATCTGAAGTGCGATCCGAACCACAACTAGTACTTCCAGAATAAGGCCGAGCCAAGGTAGTCGCTCAACTGACTCATATTCATCCATGGGTATCGACGGTGGTGGAAGTCCAGGAAAGCAGTATTGCCAGCACGTAGAGAACATTGTCAACGAGTGCAGAAAGGTATCTAAGGAATGCCATTGTGCAACATCATCATAGATTCCACAGCGGCGAAGCTCAGCCAACATTGTGAACATGCAACCAATGAAATCTACAATGTGGCGGCGACAGGAATGCAAGCGGCAATGAACACCAAGCAATTGACAACGCAAGCAAAGACAAGCGCATCATCAAACAAGCGCAGAGCAAGAAGAGGACGGACAAGTTTTGAACCTTTCATCAATTGTGACACAGCTGCCACTCCGGGCTCATAAGTGAACGAAGGGAACTGCTCACCCGGTGAGTAAGCGGGCAGTCACGATGAGGTGACACAGCGACTTCTCAGTGAGCTTGGTGAGGTAGCCAGGCTCCAGTCCCCACAGAGCCGCCATCGCCGCAAACGTAGGTGCGTCTCCTTTTCGCATGCGTTGACGCGCCTGAAAGAGCTGGGTCGACATGGATTCCAAGGACTTGAGACGGGATGGGTGGTTGGCCCACTTGATCAATGACGCCAAAGTAGTGGTAGTGGGCGATTCCTTGAGATACAAGCGTGGCTGATCACTAGTCCATGTGTAGTACTTGATGACGTCATCTGGCGTGCTGTGCATGGTGAGCAATTGTGACGCCACCGGCTTGGTGAAGAAAGTCCGTGAAGAGACTGAATGATTCGGGGTTGCACTGCGCCATCAAACGACTTGCCATTCAGGGCCGCTGCGCTGACCGTAGGTAGGGAGCTGGTCGGTGACGAAGACTGTGTGTGGTTGGCCGGTGGTGGCGTAACCAACTCTGCATCATCCTTCTGGGTTGGCACCG